AAGTACCCCAACAGAGGGTAACTTTCCCCTGCTTCCAGAGATCTCTCATGAGAGGAGCTACATCCATCACTAAAAGCCAAGAGAATTGTATTCAAAATGGGCTTTTTCATGCGTTCCTCCTCTCATAGACTACTGCTTCAGTGCTGTTAAAAACATTAAACAACTCTCTTGTTTAAAAGCCAGGTTGGTCCTTCCGACCTTTAAGACTCCTCTACTCAAAATGCCAAGTTATATATAACAAAGGTCAGCTCAGATGCACACGAGTAATACAGTTACAGACCTATTACAGGCTTTTTTTTTTTTTAATCTTTTTTTTTTAAATAGTAACTTTAACTTCAGAAGAAAAGCCTCAAAGCAGACTACAGGACCTCTAAGGCCTATTCTTACTGAAGCTAGTTGCCTTTCCTTCTGCATCTGGCAGTAAGCACTTTGCATGCTCACGATAGACTGAAAGGCCAGGTCTTTCCGTGCAGACAATGTTAATTTACTAGCGTGCTCATTTTTTCAGTGTAGCAATTCGCTCTGTTGTCTTCCTTATTCCCCGCACACATGCACACATCCCACAACCCATCGTACCACCGTAACACATCATCCCTGTCAGACAGGAAAGGCAGGCTCAGCCCTCGGTTATTCATCTTATCTTCCGGGGTAATACCCTGATAAGGCATGTATGAAGCAAGCCAGGTGGAGAAGGAAGGAAATTACTCTACCCATATATTTATACATACAGAAGCAGGTGTCCCACCACATTTTGGAGATGTCACTCTGGAGAGACAACACAATCCTGGACGGGGGCAAACGGGTACCAGAAGGAACCAACCGCTATTTCAAGCAGACCAAGCAGGTCCCCTTCCTTTGCTGCTGGACAGCTTTCTCAGAGACTGCTGCTGTTATGCAAACTCGTTACAAGCTCACAGGTTAGAAGTGCTCAACAGCAGCACCAGGCTCTATAAAAAGCAGCCAGCAAAGCCCTAACTCTTACTGCAATGCAGACTACGATTAAATTTGCATACAGTCAACAGCTTTTGGAGAGAAAAATCTAAATAGCAAGTCTAGCCAGAAGCTAAAATGCATTGCTAGCAAGCCACTTACACCTGTAATAGAGCTGACCACATCTACTTTTCATCAGCAAAGACTACCTAAGAAAGGTCAACAGATGCTCTTGAAGGTCTGACTGTTGAAAGATTTAAGTCCTCGAACTCATTAGCGTTACACCTCAGAACATCCGAATAAAATGAGCTCTTGTTTTCTGCCTGAACACTACTTAGGCTGGGGGCATCATCTTGTGTAAAAGGATTTCTAAAGGTGGTTTCTTTTAGATACATTCTTACCATTTAGTCAAGTTACCCTCTGTGTAACTGAGAATGACCCAGAACAGGGGAGTGGAATCAGGTCTGTTTGCATCACCTTAGGTTTTGCTGCTGCTGTTATTTGGTAGCTTCTTATGCTTGCAGAGATTTATCTGAGACAGAGTTTCTTAAAATACTAGATACACGTAACTGCAAGTTTTCTATGTAAAACTTCATCCCAATGGAAAGATTATTCCACTTCGGCAGGCTAAACAAGAGTTACATGGCACTAAGTGACCCTGAAATGCCTCCTAGTCCTTAACAGATTATTTCACTGTCAATTCAATCAATTTACATTGTCAGTTTTTATCCTAAATGGGTCCAAGTGCAGTTGAAGTGTTGTGATTTTTACTCTGTCTGTAAAATACTACCTGTGCCCAACTAAAAAATAATTTAGAAAACAATGAATCCCCAGTCTGAAGATCGATTCATACTTCTTATTCCTGATGGAGCTTCAGAATATTTTTAGATACATGCAGTACAGCAGAGCTGTCTATCACCGTACAGCAGACCCATCGTCGCTGTGCTGCACTCCCCGGCAGCTCCAAACTCGATCACAGCAAGGAACAGAGCAGAGATTCTTCCTGGTGAGAGCGCCGGCTACCCGATGAGTCACGGGAGCCAGCGCTGGCAAGAGACCGGCTGCAGGCACAAACAAGCAGCTCAGACTTCATCAGATGAAAGGCAGTAAACAGCCAAGATACTTTCTAATATTTACTACAATAATTTGCTACTGGGGAAAAAAAAAAATAAAATCAACACTCCAACTCTATTCCAGCTGTATCTGCTAACAGAACCAGGCATTCTTCTATCAGTTCTGGGAAATTACAGGAAAATACAAAAATCACAATAATACAGTCCATAATCTGCTTCCACTTAAACATTAACCAGCAACGACGATAACCACCATTTCATTTGCATTAAGAGATTAGCTAAAGCGTATCCCCCAGGGGGAAAGGCCCCCGTAAATACAAGGTTTCTGCATGTCATTTTCATAATCTGCCTGTTAGAGAAGAGACCGTAAAAGCCCGGCTGCGAACTCAATGCTCATTGATCCACTCGCCCATTTTTTTAGAACTTTATTTTAAACTGAGTAACAGCACCTGACCCTCACAGATTACACACTAGCTACAGGACATTCAGCTGCATCAAACCTGAAAGTCTTAATTTACCTTAAGATAACAGCAGCAGTTTAGGTGCAGAGGCTAGAATTAGTAGGCTTCAGTTAAAACCCTCAGAAGAGAGACTTTTCCCTTTCCTTTAATGTTTCCAGCAAACGAACTATGAAGTACAAAATGTGAACTCAGCTAAAGCAGTAAGTACTTACTTCTTCAATATAGCATCTTCTACAATGCAGAAGCTGACTGCAGAGCCCTGCAAGAGAGACACTGCAGGCACTGCTGCTGCTTTCATTCCATTGGGTTTGAAAAGCTTATCAAAAAAGAGCGGGTTAAGACTACCACAAACCAAAAGAGTACATAAAATATACAGAGACTGACCGTATTTAATCACTGTTTTAAGATCTTAAGAGTGTAGAAGCTCCAGGAAAAGTACTAAGTTACTCTCCAGTTTGATACCACGAGAAGTCTCATCCCCAGTGGCAGTTCGACAGGGCCCAGAGCCGAGACTTGCAGCGCTGGGGCTGGGCTGCTCAGCACCCTGCTGCACAGGTGGAGGGGGGGGGGGGGGCCCCCCCCCCCCCTTCCAGTGGCTCAGCTGCCACCGGTCCAACAAAAGCCGACTTTGCAACACACTTGGTCATCCTTGTTTTAAACAGTTACTCAATTGCATAATTTTTTTCCTAAATCCTCCTGTATGCTTATACTCCCAGTTTATTAATCCCTCCTGACAGTGAATAAACTTGCTGCTAAAATACTCATCAAGATAAAAAGCAGCCGCCCTATTTTCTGTCACCCTTGGAGGCCCACAGTTAAAGAAAATTAAACACATAGGCTTGAAGCTACACCGTATATTTGTAAATAAAATAATTTGACAGAACAAGATTACAAAGTACGAAACGAGCCCTTTCAGGAATTTTTAAGTACAAGAGAAGTCGACGTTAAATCCATTTTGTAAAGTTTTAAACAAATACCACTGAGGGATAGGCGTATTACCGTAAAACACTTTTTTTTTCTTAATGCTTTCTCAAAAAGCTTCGACCATGTACATCAATTTCAGATTAAAAAAAAATCACACACGCGCATTGGTTTGGTTACAGCTTCAGGGATCAGTGCAGCACAGTGCAAGTTTCATTCACAGATAAAGAGATATTTGAAGTAGGTACAAGAACATTCTCCAAAATATAGGATGTTATCTAACTCTCGGCAACCCTTTTCCCACCCCCTAAAAAGTGCTCAAAAGTAAGCACAACATATAGAAACACGGGGAAAAGCACACAAGGAGATGGACTCTTTAACAAGACAAGTTAATATTTGACAGCTTAAGGCAGAGGAAACAATCGCATCAGGAAGAAAATGATTGTTAGTCATCAGAAGGTATGTACAAGGGAGGTTTGTACTTTGATTCTGTAGAAAAACTGAAGCTGACAAGTCTCCATTCCTGAAATATAGAGTAAGAGAGGTACAAGAAGTAAGCACTAATAACTGAAAGCGCCTTCTCAGAATAGCCTGTTTTCCCCTGCTGCAGGTCATCATTCCCACATCTTTCAAGGAGTAAGTATATGTAACTATTTATTTCAGCTAGTCTTTGAGTATATGTGTTTATTGCTTATCTGGCAATTTTACAGAATCTTCCTGGTCCCTAGTCGCCATCAGAAAGCGTTTTCCCCTTTTTATGTTTATTTCAAAGTAGATCAAATACTCTTCAGTGCTTTTAAAAAAAACTTTAAGAAATTGCCCGAGCTAAAAATATTAACGCAATTTTCACCTGAAGCAATGTATTGCAGACTATTAATGTACAGTGCCTCCCTAAAGATGTTAAGTGCATCTTTAGCTACCAGAAATCTCACAGAGGGCTACGGCTTTGAAGTGCTCTGCTAATTTAAAAAAAAGAAAAAAAAATTATGACTGACATTTACAGCAGCCAGAATGGGAGACTAGTGCAATATGCAGCATTGATTGTTTATTCAATAAATATTTAACCCAATTATTGCCACCCAAGGCAAACAGTGCAGAAATTGTCACTTAAAGAGATACAAAAGTTTAACATTTTTTTCTATAAAGTCAGTTGCTACTATATTCATACAACTATTTCAAAGAGGTTTTTCTGCTTCAAAATTGACACTACCATTATAAAAATATAGAAACATAGCATTCGGGGGTTTAACATGTCTTTGCAAGTCTAACTTTTACATTTTTATAGGAAAATGACATTTCTGTATTCAAGAACTTATTAAAAGTAAAAATGAATACTATAGTAGAGACATTTTCTGCACTGACAGTTTCATTATAGCTCTTAAATACATCTTTCTTGGTCCTGGGTATACATTTAGAATGAAATAACTTGCATCTCACATTTATCCTGAGGTCAGCTGTGTAAAAAGGAAAGCCAATTTTATAAGGATACTAGCAGGCTTTTTGTTCAAAATATGAGGTTATTTTTTAAAAAGCCAATAAAACTCCGGGGGCGGGGGGGTGGGGGGAGAACCAACCCTCTCACCAATGTTTTAAGGAACAATTCAGTGTCATTTTTGGGAATTATTTCAAAAAATATATAGGCTATCACATCCAAATGATATATCACCCAACTAAAATTTCAGTATGCATTTGCCAAATTTGAAACTTAGAAACTGTTCTGAAACGAAAGTGTATAAATCCCCGTGAAGAGTCACCCTAAGCTTCTCATCTCAAGATCCCGACCCGCAATGCAGCTCCTGCAAGGAGAACCCCACTGAAGCCTGTGGGAATCTGCAGAGCCTTCGGGTCTGCCTGCACAGGTGAGGACATGTGATCTGGGTCTCCATCACCCACCGCGGGGTACAGTTATGACCTTGTCAAAGCTCCACTTTGAACACAGCAGTTATTTTCAATAGCACCAACAGTCTCTCAGATACCAGCATCAGGCAAATACAGACGACATAGAATAGGTTTTGTTTCTTCCTGAATCAGCACAATTGGTACAAGGCACTGCTTGGCATAGGAAGTCATAAATAAGAGCAAAACAAGACAATTTCCAAGTTTTGTGACACTTAAGTTTGTACGTCATGTCACATTTCAACGAACTATATACCGTGGTTAAAAAAACAAGACAGTCTAAGGGATTAACCAAAACATCACTGTTTCATGCATGCTTACGGTTTTCCTCCCCGTATTCAAAAAAACCCACGTAAGAACATATCAATATGAAACATTGGGAAGTATGGGTTGTTAAATTAAGTAGTACATTTTATTCTCCAATCTTCCACAAAAGTCTAACCTAGACACAACTCAAGTATAAGAAGTTGGACAATATTCTGATAACATTTGCAACAGTATCCCTGCAGAGGAGTGAAAAACCTATTGTCTAGAGAATTCATAGATTGAGGCACATCGCAATTGAAGATATTCAGGCATATTTTATGGCTAGAACAGGATTTTTCTGAGGAACCTCACTATAGACTTCCCCAAAAGCAGCTCCATATGGTTTGAAACACAAATTGCAACACATGGAAAAAACGTTTGGTCCTTAATCACTACTGTCTTCGTCGTCATCATCATCAGATACATCATTTAAAGATGATTTAGGTGACTGGCTGTAGGAGTCTGATCTAGTGGACTGACAAGCGGTCATCTCCCCCGTAGAAAGAAGATCATAGCAGAAGTCGCAAATCCGCACAGGCTTGGAAGACTGGCTCGGAAGAAGAAACCTCTTTTCAGAGCAAGGCCCGCACACAACAAAGCCACACTTGCGACAGTGGTGACGACGGTTGACGGGCGTAAATTTTGCTTTCTGACAGCGCATGCACACAGTGGCTTCCGAGTCTGGTACCCAGACAGCTGCATGTTCGTTGCTAGGAGTCTTCCCGCTTTTGGAAAGCAAATCAGAAACACACTTATTTATGTGGTTCATCCACTCAGACTTCTCTGTAGCAGTGGCAGCATAAACCGCAAAAGACTTTGTTGGTGTCTTGATAAGCCACCCATTCCGTAAGTCTCCCTCATCCTGGATGGAATCAATAGTGACGTTTTCCAGCGGGATTATGTGCTGTTTATTGTATTTCTTCTTCTGGATGACAATGTTACCGTAAACAAGAATGTCATTGAACAGGAAGAACTGCCTCGCTTTGGGCTTCTTCCTACACAGCTTTGTTAGTACTCCCTCTCCGATCAGAACACGACCAGGAATAGTCAGAGGTTGTCCAGCAGCTCCAAAGCAGTTCTCCACTATACTTATTCTTCTAGTATTTGCCTCACTGTTTGCCAAGCGATCCACCATCTTTCACAAGTATCCTAAAGTTAGAAAAAAAAGTTTGCTGTTAGAACAGGACTGATTCAACAGCAGCCTTCCCCAAGAAAGGTACCAACCCCCCATTTCTTAAAATATCTAACAGAACCCACTGGCTCAGAGGCACTGACTTGGGCCAGATTTAAATAAGTATTAACACCTAAGAATTTTTAGCAAGCAATTAGTCTTTTTTTCAAAAGCAAAAACGTTCCATCCAGCTGACGGCTATCTTTATCACACAGACAGAACCTACAGCACTGCTCTTGAGAGCCTCTGGCAACAGACTAGGAGGCTTCCCCTCTAGTAAGGTTACCGCATCCTGGTTCAACACTCACATTTCTCTGTATATCCTCCTGCACATACTCTCTGGATGGCAAAAACAAGTATCATCCATCATTCCAAATTCTAATGCTGACAGAAACATAGACTTAACTGAGCAGCTTGGAGACTGTTAGCATTAACACGACAAACAAAAATTATATAATTGATGTTCACATAGGAAACCACCACACCCAAGCTCAGTATTGCTCTTTTTTCAGTAAGTAAACCTTAAATCATGGGCCAAAACCATGAATCTACCTACTAGAAACATTTTGTATAGGCCACAGCTTGCACCCACCACCACCTGCTTTCATGGCAAACTCTTGAGCCAGGAGCAGGGAGTGAGTCGTGGCTGGTGGCTCATTGCCTGCTTGCTGCTGCCTTCTGTCTGCAGGGGTCCCACAGTCCTTCCCTCCTCGCCTACTCGAACCACACCTGCATCCATCATGATCAGGCAACATACACAGGC